CACCTCTCCCTGTCCTCCTCTTCCTCTCCCACTTTTTTCTTCCTCTTCTACCTTTCCCTCTCTCCTCCACATTTCGCCTTCTCCTTGTTCCCCTCGTCCTCCTTCTCCATCTTTCCCTTCTCCTCCTTATTCCCCTCGTCTTCGTCCTCCTCCACCTTTCCGTTCCTCCTGTACATCCTCCTCCTGCTCAATATTTGCACTTTGCACTTCTGGCATATACTTTCTGATTTCGAATATGACGAATGTTACTTTTGTTAGGATGTTCCTGTTACTTGTTTATTCTCTTACAGCAACCTTAACCATTTGTGCTGCCTTAGGCGATGCGAAATCACGATTTGGATCTTGGTGTTGGATAAAAGAGTCTTTATCCGAAAAAGAACGTCTCCTGTGGATGTTATTTACAAAGCAGATATGGGAGTTATTGATTTACGTATTTTCAGCTTCGCTTATCATCATAACGATATGGTTGAAGAAACGAAAACGAAGAATGACAGAACAATCGGTATTATTTTGTAAACACTTAATTGCATCTTATGTTTTAACTATGATTAACGTCGACGTGTTAAGATCCCTGTCCCACTGCACTTGTTTGTTTATACAGTCAATCTCCTTAATTTCGTTTTTCTGTAAGTGTTGTAATTCTTTTACGGCCAGGGCTCTTCCATTGACCAGGTAGCTCAGTCGGTTTGGGCGATAGAACAGCTATCAGCTGTAATGCCAAAATAAACAATGCCAAATGCGTAGTTTTTGGGCAGTAGTACGTGAAGTCTACAAGTACAGTGAAAAGCTAGAAAGTTAAATTTAATCATTAACCCTCTTTCATTAGGATCTCCGTTTAATATCTTTTTCACAAAACAATAATTAAAGGAAATGAAGCGAATTCTATCATATTTTAAGAAATGCTTTATATTCAATTTTTTTTTATTTTGGTACTGTGGGTCAATTTTCATTTAACAAGTTAAATTGTTAAGAGTGGCAAAGAGTGACATTCCGTTTGGGGGGGAAAGCACTGTATCGGAATTCAAATTTGTTTTCTTTCTTTCAGCAAAACCAAACGATTCCTTCACCAAATAGAAAAAAAGAGAACTCATTGATGACATTCAGCAGGACCCAAAACACGACGAAGTTCAATGTTATGGTTTGGGTGCTGTTCTATTTCTACCTCATGAGGATTTGGGGTACCACTAGGAACATGGTGCGTATCGTCGGCCTGTCTGTTGGGTCGCCTACAGTACAAGGGTTTGTACCTTGGGATGAAAAGTTCTTCATACACGCCCAATGTATTGGAGACTCTATGCAAGAGACAATGAACTTTCTTATGTTTTGTTATTTTGATGATAAGGTTTGGCGTCAGGTTCGACAGGTAATCAATCGAAAATTTCTAGATAAAATATGTTGCAGAAATCAAGATGATGATTTGGTGTCTGACTTGAGTCCGATATTGAATAAAAACATTGTTAAAGTAGCATACGTATCAGTTTTTTTAATCATTCCAACTAATCCCTACATACTCTACATAGGTTTTAATCAACACCTTATTTTATTTTATTTTATTTCCTCTCTTTCGCAGAATCATTTTGTATCATGCCCTAATCGTTTCTAGTTTATTGAGCTGATTTTTAGCTTATAAGATTTCGAACAAATAATCGATGCTGATTGATAGAATCCTCTCACACTTTTATGAGTGTTTGGTAGAGAAATATCAAACTCGAGGGATAATTGTTTTGATTTTCTAATCCGAGTTTCCGCCGAGTACATTATGATACATTGATATCGAAATCTAGTGTAATTAAACCACATGGAATTTATATCAATAATATTGCGTTTTTAAAAAAGTCACAAATACCTACAGTATATGTCTGTGAGGAGAATTTTAAGTGGTGACTATTTTTTATTTAAAGTTATTTTTGTGACATGCAGAAGACATTTTTGTGGTCTATTTAACGGTTTAAATATCTGTTTTTTATTGCATATATCAGTCGTTATGACAGCTATGACATAAAATTTCCTTGTCAATCTCTATTCATATAAGCAATTACATACTAGTCTCTACACTTTATGTATGACTAACTCCTTATTCACTGTTGATGTTTTTCTATTAGCCACTTGTGCTGTCCGTGTTGCATGAAGCACGAACATAAGACGTCAGACGACAACAATTATGACATAAGTGATTTTAACTTATATTAATCACTGTTGTTGACCCGGATGTTAGCGCGCAGGGGTCTTAATATGGAAGGAAACCGGAGTACCCGAAGAAAACCGTGTGCGCCATCCACTGCGTCATCTGACCGCCCTTACACCTATATAATTTGTTCATAGATCCAACTTGCCAAACTTGTATAATATTTAACTATAATGTCACGCCCGGCAATAAAAGAACTAAGATACAAGTTTTATAACTTTAGATCTTTTACAAAAGACTAGGGGTAAGGGGTCATTCACTTTTCAACTTGAACGAAATGATAAGAGTAATTTATTATGTTTTGCTTCTACTTACAATACATATTTAACTTTAATATTTCCACATTGACAAATTTTATGAAAAACTGAATGAAAGCAAATGATATATACACGTAAAATAAAAATCTGTATGCAATATTGCGATTACAAGTATATAAATTTCAATACAAATGTCTGTATTTCATTTTATAGAGAGGCGTGTGGTTTCATTGTAAAAGGAGGAGAATTCACGATAATTGATCAAATAGAAAAAATGATTACTATATCAGCTCGGAACATTATTTATGAAATTTCTTTTCGTATTTGTATATTGTGACAAATATGATATTATGACAAAAATGACGTATCACAGAAAACTGACAACAACAGATCATACAGGACACTTAATTGTTAACAGACATGTAAAATATTATGCACATGTATGATGTTACGTGCCTTACCGTGGTTTTTCTTTTTTTGACAGTTTATATTTTGTAATGAAAATTTTCACTCCTATGACAGTATATATCTTGTGATGAGGATTTTCACTTCCTTGACAGTATATGTTTTGTGATGAAGATTTTCCCTTCTTTGTCAGTATATGTTTTGTGATGAAGATTTTCACTTCTTTGACAGCATATATTTTGTGATGAGGATTTTCACTTCTATGAAAGTTGATGTTTTGTGATGAAAATGTTTACTTCTTTGACAGTATATGATGATTTGTGACGAAGATTTTCACTTCCTTGACAGTATATGTTTTGTGATGAAGATTTTCATTTCCTTGACAGCATGTTTTGTGATGAAGATTTTCACTTCTTTGTCAGTATATGTTATGTGAAGAAATTTTTTACTTCTTTGACAGTTTATATTTTGTGATGAAGATTTTCACTTCTTTGTCAGTACTTATTTTGTGATGAAGATTTTCACTTCTATGAAAGTTTATGTTTTGTGATGAAGATTTTTACTTCTTTGACAGTATATGTTTTGTGATGATGTTTTCTCCTTCTTTGTCAGTATATGTTATGTGAAGAAGATTTTCACTTCTTTGACAGTATATGATTTGTGATGAAGATTTTTACTTCTTTGACAGTATATGATTTGTGACGACTATTTGCGCTTGTCTGTTTGTAAGAGCACTTATGGTGATAAACTTCATACGATACTTATTTATCTAGCTACTTGAAAACAAAGTTTAAATGTTTTGTTGTCTTGCCAGTTTTATTGTATGGAAAATAAACACATACTCCCTATCAGATCTCTTGGTTTTTTCAATTATATTTAACAATCCAGACATTAAATTTGACAGTATTTCGAAGAAATACGCTATTACTGAATCAAAAAGCAGATGTTTAAGCATATCGCTTCGGCCGGCTATTCCTCATTATCCATAAGCCTCGGTTATCGGTATGTACGAGCTGTCCGAACGAATATGCTTGAAGTTGGTAGTGTCTCCTTAGGAACCCGTCCTCATATTGCCTAAGCTGTTGCGAGGACGTTAATTCACAATAAAAAACATTGATATCTTTTTCATGCTGAAGAGAGATGACCAATACATACAGGGGAAGGACATGTCTGCTTTTAGACAAATTAAAGTCAACTTGTCCACCATGTAAATTTTCAACTCATGAATGGATGCTGGTGTAACAGAATGACAACCCTAGCTACAGCCTATAACTCAGATTATAAGATCAAAACATCCGACTCTTCCCCTTCTATTGTCCTTTATTCAGCTATATTACATAACAACTAAAAAGGAGAGTAACATTGATTAAAAACTAAACCTGGATTAAACTCATAATTAATGTATTATAAGACCAATGAATATTGACAAAAGTCTGCATTGTTAAACGAGTCAATCTATCCCTTGTATCACTATATAGCTATTGTTCTTTTTATCTATTTTATGACGCATTGCACTGTGATGATGTTATGAGTAAATACAAATATCTAGGCAGACTCCTAATCTCGTCTGGTTAACCTTGTCGGGTAGGTATACTAAATTATTTAGCGTTACGGAATTTTACAGCAATGTCTTTATAGCTAACTCGAGTTAGAGGAATATGACGATAAAACAACCATCGCTGGGGAACTAACATTTTACGTCTCAGAAGTAAATTATCTTGTAAAACATAAAGCTGAATGATTATCTGTCCATGCATGGAATAAATCAGCAAATATTTGCAATTATGAATGACGCGCCGCAGGTCAGGTCTTCTCACTAATCAATTGCAGTTGTAATCAGGACCCGGGGTCACTCTAAACACACGAACGAAATTGCCAGCGATAGACAAGGTAATGCACGTCCATGATTAAATACTAACAATATGTATCAATATCAACAGTGAGGATAAAGCAGATCTACATACTGTGATTTGTTCGTTGATAAGAAAGATCATCAACCATTGACCTTAAACTGGCCTGATATCAAATCACCGCCTTGCTTTCAAATAATTACTCAAGTTCATATGATGGTTGGATCTTCTGATAACGAAGCTTCTTGTTTCTCTGTATCGCGTTATTCGCGTTATCATAGCTGATGATCGAGCTCAGCCTTAGTAATAATCACTTGGGATAATGCTAACTACTTATTTCGAGAGATGATAACCCCATCAAACCAAGGAACGACACACAACGAACACATTTAAGATGACAAATCCTAGCACAGAGGCATGGACGACTGTGCTGGAAAATATTACACGAAGCACTCCAGTCATGGAAAACTTCACTATTGGCCCGGCAGAGAACACTCCCTTGGATCTTTCTAATTGGGTTGAGGCTCTTACACTGCTGACAACAAATCTCTCAATCATACTTTCCATGTTTCTGCTGTTGATTTTCCGATGCATTGTTCAGACAAAAGAAGATTTGATAGTTTATTTGGTTCAATTTCTGGCAGTGATTGACTTATTCTTTTGTGTAGGGATGGATATGGGAATAGCTTACTATACGAGCAGTGACAAAGGAAAATATGAAAGTTTTTGTGTTGTGGAAAGCTTCATCTGCACATTCTTCGATTTGGTCTCCTTCTTTTATACATTATACGTCATCATCTATGTGTTTTGTGTAACTGTTTACAAAGCAGAATGGATGAAGGGTAAAACAGCAAAGCGCATATATCATTCTTTAGCCTGGGGTGTACCTGGTGAGTAACTAAAATACTGTTTAATTCCTATGTTTTCTGTCAGATTCATTTATCGTGTCATTTGTGTTTATCACTGTCCACGTGTTTATGAGTCCCCAATGATAATAATAATATAACATTAACAGAAAACCAGGAATAAAGTACCGTTTTGTAATGATGGTTGAACCGAAAAAAACGAATAATACATGGACCGTTGTGCACATGGTGCAAATAATGGATAGGTGTTTGAATTTGACGCCCTGCAGAATAGAGCAATTTTGTTTGGGACATTTAAGAGAGAAATAAATGGCTTTCATGTTCAATAATAGCACTTCCGGTAATATTCTGTTCAGCTTAAAACTTATAAATAAACATTTTTAAAGGATCAATTTACTTTTTTCACTTTACAGCAGTAATAACCATTTCTGCGGCCAGTACAGGAGCCTTAGGCGATGCGAGGTCACGATTCGGGTCCTGGTGTTGGATAAAAGACGAAATATCCAACAAAGAGCGTCTTCTTTGGATGTTATTTACAAAGCAGATATGGGAGATATTGATTTATGTGCTTTCCGCTTTTCTTATCATCCTCACCATATGGTTGAAAAAACGAAAACGAAGGATAGAGGAGCAATCGGTAATACTGCTAAAACACACGATTTTACTATAAATAATTTTGACGTTAAGGGATCCCCGTACCCCTGCCCAAAACTAGATACTATATCAATTCAATGGAAACCTTTTTTCAACATGACTATGGGTATGATAATTCAGTTCTTAAAAGCAACCATTGATTGCAAACCTTTATGCAAAAATAATAACTTAAAAATTCCGAGTTTACAAACAGGGTCAACTTAGATTCGAACACTGGACCACTTCCTCGAGATTCCTTTAGTTACGCTCACTTCTGTTCTCTGTATCTTGCTACCCGGTTAACGAGATTACTTTGGCCAAGTTAGGCTACAGATAAATCCAAAACAAAAAAAAGGAGAGGCTACTGAATGTACCAATAACTACAGTTAAATTCTACAGTGTGTTGCATGCAGAGGTACAGGGATCCTCAAGTGTAGCAAACGGTTTGTGAACGGTTCTACACGTGATGCAATGTGAAAGATGAGAGAGTGAATTGAATTAATTTAGTTCCTCGTTCTATAGTTTCATTAATACAAGAGTTGAGAGAATCTATCACATTTAGACAAGTTTATATAACGTTGCTTTGTCATGGATCAATTGTATCGACACGTTTAAAGGTGTCAGAGCGGGAGGGCTATTTTCTTTTTAATAGAAAAATATGAACTTGCTACATCTGATTGTAACTATGTTTTTCTTTCAGCGTAGCCACATGTATCAATCACCAAATGAAAACGAAGAAGCTTCAGGATTGACTTGCAGAAGGACCAGAAACACACCGCACTTCAATATAATGGTTTGGGTGTTGTTCTATTTCTACTTTACGCGGATTTGGGGTACTACTAGGATCATGATCCGTATCGTCGGCCTGGCTTTTGGGTCGTCTACAGTACCAGGGTTTGTACCTTGGGATGAAAAGTTCTTCATACACGCCCAAAGTGTTGGGGGCTCTCTGCAAGGGACAATGAACTTCCTTATGTTTTGTTATTGTGATGATAAGGTTTGGCGTCAGGTCCGAAATAAGATATGTTGTTGGAAACAAGATGGTGACATGGATTCTGATTCGATTCCAGTTTTGGAAAAGAACATTGGCAATAAAAGCTATGGTTAGTATGGCATATTATGGGACATCCGTATCATTATCAAGGAAATGTGGTTGTGACGCAAGAATGAGAAACATTCAGTTCCTGATGAATGGCTAAGTCCGAGGTTTTAGATCAAGAGACACTGTTGATAAGTTTCCATAACGTTCACTGTAGGAACATCGTGCTAGTACGTATTAAGATATTGTTAAGTTGGGTTTTTTTTGGCAATTCTAATAGATATTTCGCTTATGTTTAGAACTACATATTTTGGTATGATTTTGGTATAATTTAACTATATTTTGTATCCTATCATATTGCTTTCAGTGTATAAACCTCATGATGAGCTTATAAGATTTATTCAAAATAAAATATTATCTATTTTTGTTGATTATTGCTGAAAAGTGTGTCTTTCTCGGCTCAAATAATTGCATCTTCAAGAGGATTTGTACATTTTTTAATTATTTATTTATTTATTATTCATTGTTATACATTCTCATCTCTGCAAAATTCATTTCACAAGAAAAGTATAAAATAGTATGCATAATGTAAACAAGTCCTTCCCAATTTGTTAAGAATATACAAAAACGTAAAGTTTAAGATTTAGCAATTTAATTTATACTTTAATGCTCATAAAACATATAGTCGCATTTATGAGGCAAGAGCGACAACCCATCCAAAGATGATTGATTATCTCCCGATGATAATGATTAAATAAAACCCCAACAAAATAGATCAAAAAGGTATTATACGCATGTTAAGTTTCGATGCGTGTTTATAATGTAACTTATTAGTTGATGCAAGTAACAAATTAACATAGCTTTTTTGTAATCTCGTTTGTTACATTTCGCCCATCGTAGAGCTTGCATCAATGTGGTATGGAACTGTTTGGCTACTCAACCCAAAATGTATGCTGTATTGATACCACAATATCTTATATTTAAATTAAATGGAAATTACATCGATGACAATGCGTTTTGGAGAAGTCATTTGTACCAAAAATGCAAATAAGCGAGAGTTATTTTCAATTGTTAACATTTCTGATACAAGAAGATGTTTTATAACATGACGAACAAGCTTTGATGTCATATTGAATGTATGTTTTTCATTGCATATAATAATCGTAACAGACATGTGAAATTCTCAATTTCTAATCACATGAAGATGTTGGTAATTGTTTTGCCTCTGGCACCATCGATGAGTCAACTGTATTTTCTGTCATTCCTTTTTGGCTCTCTCTGTCTTTTACCAATGTTTAAAGGTACAGTCACCTGTGTGTGTGTCATTCATCTCCTGTTATAACAGATATGTTATTGCCATAACTCACAATATACCTATTTTATTGATGTGCCACTCGTTTACAATTTAGAAACATTCTGATGAAATATTAATTTTACATAATACTTATACATTACACTACATAAATACTAGGGCAAATTTAAGGAACTAAGAAGGTTTCTTCTTCTTCATCGATAGTATCCGCCAACCAAAAGCTAGGTCTTATTCAAGTAACGTTAAATCCTTCATAAAATCAGAACCGGCAATGTAACAACAAAACAATGTACATTAATGGGCATAACAAAAGGTCGATCTTCATACCACAAAAGGAAATAGAATGTTTTACAATGAGATCTTGATAGCGACCATAACACTTTATCAGCACCCACCTCTCAAAACCAAGTGTTATACGTTTGTGCATCAGAAATGGCCATATATTAAGGAAATCATGAAATTGGGATCACTATTCAAAGAGAACCAACAAAATCGATAATAATCAATATGAAACCCACTTTTAAATATCTTATTCGAATTGTGTTAACGCGCATGCATCAGAGAACTGTTTTGCTGTAAATTGTTAGAAAATAAATACAGAAACGTTTATACAGACGAATGTAGCATATCATGTAACGTCATGACTGTAATTACTTTTCTTGTGTTGTGGTGGTCATTGTGATATCACCATTGTTGGACTTTATTTTTTATTACAACATGCAATATAAAGTTTTGGTGTCATATTATTTTAAGCTTATATTTTCACAACAATAAATATTTTGACGTCACCATTTGTTTTGTGTTATTGTCTTGTCAACGTGATAATAGAAATTGTCATATTTTGAGGATAACCCTCGGCTACCAGCTTAAACATAAGCTCATACATCGATTAGAGTTTAACGTATCAAACGCTTTAAATTCGTTCGTCCGTTCGTGATAAATACGATATTCCCTTAGGCTGTCAAGTTTCCATATTTTAATTTGCATATTTATCTATAACCAAAACAGTAATTACTACGGTCCGGGTAATAGAAATTGTACCATTTTAAGGAAATCCAACCCTTTCTCGATACAAAAACATGAAGAAAAAATATCAAATTATTACCACTGAATCAAACAGCTGATTTTCAATCATATTCCATCGGGCGGCTATCCCTCATTATGAATTACCCTCGGGTATCAGCTTATACATAGAGTTGAGTTAAACGTATCAAACGCTTTAAATTCGTTCGTTTTGTTCGGATCCTACCTCTGCATGATTACTTAGTTATCATGAGACATACGTGTAAAAAACTCTTCCGACCAAATATCCGGTTAATCGGTCAGTTAAGTAATTAAACAATAACGATAACATATAAAAATACATGTTATTTCTACTCGAACTCAAATGCGGTAATGTTATTACTGAGAAACATGATTTGATCGACGAACTAATTCATAGATGATTGCATGTTTTGATGGTTTAATTCAATTGTTTACACTTGAAATTGTTTAATAAGTACAAAAAAATGTTTTTGGTATCGAAAATTTCGATATCGGTCTCACGTTAAGTAATTCTGAGTCAGGTAAACATGGGGGTCCCCCAGGGGTAAATAAATGTCTGACTATTTGGTTAATGATTTTTGTAACCGGTTCCCGGTCTTCCGATTGAGAAACCGGCTAACCGTTTACAATTCTCATGAAATAAGCCTGATACAAATAATGACAACCCTGGTATGTTCATTGCTTTTTCCTGTTTTATTAATTTAAATATGAATAAAGCACTTACAGTAGTTAATACCATTCAAAACACAAGTATCTTTGGTTTATTTTGATTTAATTTTGTTTAACGTTCTATTAACAGCTAAGGTCATTTTACCAAGAGAACAGACACTTGTCGAAAAGATGAAAATAGGGCTTTTTTCAATATATTTTACCTTGACGTAAATCTAGCTGAACATCTTTATCCTTACATGCTATGTAATCAATATATATATATATCATCCTTTCCTTGTAAAGTCCATTTTAAATATTATGTCAGGTATGGTGTAATCCACCAAGCAGTATTACACTTCATTTAAATATTAACTGATATCACCTGTGCATGAGACTCGGGTGTTCAACGGCCCGTGGCGGACACAATTAATTAATCTTAAACTGCTAATTGACTGTCATCAACTAAAAACAATGATGAAATGAAAAATAGTAACAGCATTGACAGAAAACCGCTATGAGTATACACCGTGTTGACAGTGACTGAATCATCATTGCATCGCCATATGGAGATGCTTACGGAGCAGTCATCAACATGCTTCTTTCGTATGAATAACAGATATGAGACACTTTTCAAAATATTTCGTCTAATTGATTTTGACAGAGAGTATACCTGCCAGGGTAAATAAGAATATTACAAATGGACTCTATCTTTTTAAAACATTTTGTACATTGCAATTGCAGTCTAACATTACACGCTCTCTTAGAAAATAAAACCTCGTTTCATGAAGGGTGTAAAGTGTTTAAATATGTCGGTAATGCCATGCGACATATTGTATGATAAGTTGTATGCCTAAACTAATGTAACAATCCCAGATTTGTAGAAGATGAGGAATAATATTGTAAAAAATCATTAAGAAAGCTTTGTTGGAAATTATAGAGAGAAATGTTTCTTATTTAACAACGGACGACATCACACATTTATTGTATTAAGCGCATTACGGATGGAGGCGTAGAAGTATAGGTAAACCGGGATATGTTTCATGTTGTTGAAATATATTGCACCATGTCAACACATATCAAATACAAAACTATTCACTGTTCAAACAAATGATAATGATAGGCAAGGATAAAAATAATGAAAATAACGTAAACGGAAAATCCTTTATAATTAAATTGAAGTTTCAAATTGATTTGTTTAAAATGCTCTGACGGAAATTTTGAAAAAATAAAAATTAGATACCATATGAAACTCACAAATATCGATAGATAAAAATTATGTATTAAAAAAACAAATCCTTATTGTAAGGGAGGCAACACTTGCTGATAAAGATTATATCTTGGTTTACAGTACAGTACCTAGCTAATAACGTATACCACAAATGCACATAATAACACTAAAAATAATATATGAAATAATGTGACAACAACACTTATGTATTACATTTTAACAAGCGAAATATCAGAAAAGTACGAACTTGATAAAAACGATTTTATTCACTGCAATGAAGATACACGAAATTCGATAAGTTCACCTGTCATTATTGGTTTGTTTTGTTTTGGTTTACGTCCTATTAACAGCTATGGTCATTTAAGGGCGTGCCAGGTTTTGGTGGTGGAGTAAAGCCGGAGTTTCGGGAGAACACTACCGACCTGCGACCAGGACCTAGCAACTGCCCCGCCTGTGATGACATTCATGTAAGGTATCATACCAGTTGATACTATTAGCCAACCAATCAGACGTTATTTTCTATTTAGTGCATTAAAAGCTACAGATGTTTTGTCCTGCTGCAAGTGAAGCGCCTACAGAATAAGTTGTTTTGTACGTATTTGTTACTTACATGAATTTTTTAATATAATTCGCATAATTTGAAACATTTTTAAAGAATATCATACCAGATAATAGCAGAAAGCAATAAAATAGTGTTGATAGCCCATTCCGTGTCGACACAAATAAAAATACATGGTTCAAGGGTGAAATAGCAAAACGAGAATATATCTATATGGTCTTAATTTACCTAGTACTTGACAATGAGCCTTAATATAATAAAGCAATACACGATAT